ATAATGACAAATAAAAATAACAGAGAGAGAGAGAGAGAGAGAGAGAGAGAGAGAGAGAGAGAGAGAGAGAGAGAGAGAGACGTGTACTATTTGAGCATTGTCTGCGCGTGCCGTGCACGTACAATACACTACGCGCAAAAAAGTCTGACTGCCGGAGTCCACGTTATATTTGTCATAACACCATGTCTACTTTTACAGATGTTTTGCAGGGAGGGGGAACAAGGGTATGCTATGTTTTGACATCGGGGGTGGGAGGGTGGGCGGGGTGTAATTGGTCGCTTTTAAGAACCTATCCAGAAAAATGCTGTATTGAGAAAACCGAAGGTAAAGTTTTTGGACTCTTGTTCAGTTGTTTTGTGGGTTTTTTTTGGTTTTGTTTAAGACGAGGAGAGTTTTCTCTAGATCTATTCTAACCAAACCAATATACACATCAATGAAATCAAATTTCTCTTATAGTCTTGTAGGTAGGGCAATGCCCCCTTTTGGTGCAGGTCAAGATTTGAAAGCGACCAATTATGTTTCGAAGTCGTGTGCACGAGATAGAGAAACGGGGCAAGGAAGAAACCAGGACAAGCGAAGCGGTGAACAACGGGAACTATGTAGTGTGTATCTCCTTGTCTTTGTCCTACTTTGCGATCAGAATCAGGTCACAGCACCAATCCACCACAAACAGAAACACACGAGATGAAAAAAACTGGTGGGACTCAAGCAGCTGGACCACGTGACCCATGGGTGATTATCTCAGTGCCCAGGCCACACTCCCGGATAAAACAATAATATTATATTAAGCACAATTCATAAACCGCCAGACCACAGCCCAGATTTCCTTCCCGCGAATTCCCCAAAAGCCAAAAATTAATACCGATGATATATATACTCGCCAACTGATAATAGTATTGTTTGTTTAGTATTAGCAAGAGTTTTACGGCACAAGCAACACAATAAGGTCATATAAATGCCGAAGATTAGAGGTGTTACAAGAGAGTAACAAACATAAAAAAGAAGGAGAGATCAGGACGATAGATGTTTGATAGGAGAGAATTGGTGGAGAGAACAGGATGATAGATGTTTGATAGGAAAGAAGGAGCAAACCACACTAGAGCACCCGCCAACTACCCACAGTATTGTTTGTTTATTTGTTTTGAGTATAGAGAAGCACATCGACACAATATTGGTCACTTAGAGAAGGGAAAGAGAGGAACAGACAGAGAAACAACAGAGGGAAATAAAAGAAGTAGCAACATGTGCTCGTTTGGGGTACATATGACCATTACCCACCAAGCTTTGAGATGGAATCCACTAGGAAAGGAATTGGAGGATTAAGAGGGACTTAGATTCAAACCTGAAACAGACTACATAGGCCTATGGTTGGACAGCGGTGGAGAGTGGAGACAATAGCTCAAGACAGAAGTAGGTGGAGAGCTCCTGTTGGTGGACTGTACTCCGGGGTGAGAAAGGATGAAGATGATGAGTACTTATTTATCCGAGATATGGGGGGAGGTTGTTGTCTTTTATTCCATAGGTGTTTTCACGCCCCTATCAACACAATTTAGATCTTTTAGAAGGCAGGGTCCTGACATCCCAGCAGAAAGACACTACCACTATATATCTTTCTCCTCCAACCCAAGGTTCCAGGTGAATTATTTGTCAATAGCCTACATATATATGTTAAACACAAAAAGTCTAGACAAAAATTTTTCATTTATAATTCAAACCTGAAATCAAGCGCTTAACACAAACTGGCACCCATAAACTACACACACCTGCACTGGCACACAGAGATACCTCCTGCATGGCAAGATCTGATAAGACATGGTGCATTAAAAAAAAGAAAAGATATTACAGGTACATAAGACAGGACAAAACAAAAGAAAATAAGATAAATAATACTTTATCACATATGTCTCAACGTGATGGAATCGGGGTCTTGTCAATTTTGGGGCATATGGAGCTATTGGTATCACGAGCCTGTCCATTTGCCTTGCTTTTGATGGGAAAAAAATTATTCATTTATCTTTTGCAAAAGTCAAGATATTGGCGAACGAAGGATGTGGGGGGCGCCTGGTTTCAGAAGTAAAAATTAGCCTGAAAATGGCCACCAAAGTTACGTTATTTCCTTAGCTTGAGAGTCTGTGGAAACTGAAAATTTACATCTTTTATGCCTTTACTCAATGTTTTTCAGTAAAATCCACACAGAAATGTGTTCTTTTATGGGCATGAAAGGTGTTGAGCCAAAAAACAAAAATTCAATAAAAATTCCAAAATCTGCGGAAAAATACTTGTTTCTTCACTTTCATTATTTTGACAAGCGCCTGATTTCATCATGCAGCCTCACATATATTTATACAGCCAGAAATAACAATTCTCAAAACTCAATGGAGTTGCGCTGCATACCTGTATACAGTGGTCTAGATTCAGCGTTGGGGACAAGCCACATATAAAAATCAAAATGAGGAGAACATAACTACTCTCATAAATGATAAAATAATAAAATAGCATTTATAGAGCACATTTCCATACTTGACAGCATGCTCTTTGTGCTTTACAAATAATACTCCAGAAGACCCAAGAACTCGAAGAAACATTCTCAACTTCTCAGGAAGCATATATGATTATAAATATATATACAGTAGTCTCCGCCTAAGATCCCACGGCTTACGATCCCGGCTCGCTTAAGATCCCGCTGTTTTAAGAAAACAGAATTTTTACTATACAAAAGCCACCCTTAAGATCCCGCTCTGATGCACTCTCAAGGTCTACATTCGGCAAAGAACCCGCATTTCAGATCATAATTTGCGGAACAATAACCCAGGCGGGACAGCCGATCAACCAACAGTGAAAAGTTGAGATCAATAAACAATCCATCGCGTCAAAGATCAGCCACTATTGTCAATGTGATCACATACACGTTGTAAAACTCGATGAAGCGATACAATGTTTGCCCCAGACCGGATCACACCGGGTGTGACCGACACGCTTGTTTTCCCCGAACATCGCACTCACACCTGAGCTCTCCCCCTAAACTTACATCCCTCGCTGGGTGGGTAGGGCCTACACGTTCGCTCCAGGCGGGATCACATTGTATCGTGAATTCTTCCCTGACCATTGCAGAAGTTGTCTCTACTCCCGAATTTGCGAGACAGACTGAATTTATATTGGTGTGTTCACAACGTAATGGTGTGTAACGACAAAGGCGGTTGGGGGAGTGGGGGAACTCGGTCAGAGATGGAAAGCTATAAATTTTCTACAGATAAGGGGGAGGGGCAACTGGACAAGCGTAGATCTTGAGACTCAGGATACGATAATAAGTGAAAAAGGCATGCCTCATGCCACTATGCACTGTGATAGGTCATCAAGGTTAACCACTCTTTGCTCGCCATATGTCATAAACCCACAAAGCGGTCACGTCAGTTCATTTTTGAGTGGAGGGAGACCATTTTACTGATTGTGAGCCTTAACGTGGGTCACCATAGATTCTTCCCTGGGTTCGTCGGTTAAGATCCCGGTTCGCCTAAGATCCTGCATTTCCTTGCTCCCGAGCATCGGGATCTTAGGCGAAGACTACTGTAGAGCAAGGCTTATAAAGGAAGGGCTTTTTGAATGTGGGCTAGCCCAAAAAATGATCTCCCATCTGATGCTGAATTCTGTCATAGAGGCCTGATGATATGTCTTTCAGAAAAATGGAAAGGTTGAAAAACAAAGGCACCTGCCAAACATAATAAATATTAATAAAAACGAACAAAGCAGGTACACCAGAACTTTCCAAAACGATTGCAAAAAAGAGATCTCCTTGGCCTTGGTGAACACATTGGAATATAATAAACGAAGTGACTATTTCTCCGAACGCTCAGGAAAAAAATTTGAACTGTACAACATATTTCTCCAAACGGTTTCCGTTCTCTAGAATTTTTAGTCTTGAGAGATTTCGGTGCCATCTTGCATTCTGCCATTCTGCGAGGAAGCAAATTTTGCATCGAATTCAATTTCTAGAGCAAGAGATTTTTAAATGTCTGAATATTCAGATACTTCAGTTGTGATTGGGGCAACGTTCCAGGACTACACATCATTTGAAAATGCCTTCAATCGAGAGAACAGGACTGCTCGACCTTGGCAGTAACCTATTTTGCATTTAGTCACCCCTAAAGTAAAGCAAAAACTAAAATCTTTCATGTAAACCCCCCCAAAAAATGAACCCGCCCCATTCACACCTTACACACACACACGCGGACCACTCCATTCGAAAAAAATCTCAAAAAATCTCGAGAATGTAAACCATTCGGAGAAATAGAGTTCAAGTTTATTTTCCCGAGCGTTGGGAGAAATTGAGCCGGCCTAAAATAAAAGAAGGGGGGTGGGGGTGGGCAGCGGCCGTTTGTATGATGTACGTGATTGTCTTGAAATATAAACAGACTTTCAACTTTTCATCAATTGGGGTCATTGATTGACATAATTAGAAAGTGCTGCACTGAGGCTGGAAATCTAGAGTCTAGACTAGACTGTTTGGACTTGGGTTGTAAAAACACCTTAGCCTTAACTGAACATCACGATAAAATAAATGATAATACCCCCCACTCCCAAATAAGGGGGGGGGGGGGTGGAATCCTCTCTTTCCACTAAAACAATAACCATTACGATCAATATTCAAAATGAAGCTTCTAAAGTCTAAAAAAAAATAAAGGTCAAAGTCAAATAGAGATCAGTTACGGTGAATGTGTGTGTACTGTACTGTCAACTTTTTGAGACACAACTTGCGAGTTCCTGTACCATTCTGTGTAATAAAATTTTGCAATTTTGCAAGACCCGCTAATAGATCTAGATCTAGTAGAAATCTTAACGTTGTCGACAAAAATGTTAGGCCTAAAATTGAATGTTTGACAAACCTGGAAACTTGTGCGAAAAGGCTGCATCTTGTCCTTGTGTGAGGTAGACTGTGACTGTGTAGTGTGTGCTGGGTTCCTTCCTGTCGTTGAATATTCGGTTAAAAGTTACAGTATTTATCAGCAGACGCCAGACCGGGGCTTATTACCGGTACCAATTTAAATGATGATAATGGGTTACAGGTACGGACAGCTGTGGTGCTGCTTAAAAATGGACAGGACACACTGTATGCAATCAACCGAGTTAAGTGCACACACAGAATTCTACACTTATAGAAGCGGAACTCCCTCTTCGCGATCGCCGATTCGCTGTGAGGAATTGAAACTAAAACATGGCGGCCGGTTGAGGGCACCTTTGGCTGCGCCGCACAGCGAGGCTTCGCGTTGCTATGCACGCTAATGCTAGTGGTAGGGCTTGGAAGACACCTTACATCAGTATTTTAAAACTTTCTTCGAAGAGGAAATATAGTGAAATAGTCTAGTACATTTTTATTGCCTACAATATGTCATATTTGGCAATGTTACAATGTTTTTGTATTTGTATTGTTGGTTTGTTGTTTTTTTTAAATGATGGGATGGGATTTAGATCTAGATCTAGATATCTAGATCAAGATAGATCTAGATCTCTAGATCTAGATCTATTAAAGATCTTCACAATCACAATACACTTGATAATAACACTAATTATGAACATTAATTCTGTTGGCAAAATATCTAGATATAGATCTAGTCTTGATTAGTACTAGATCTACGCTAAGGCAAAAGGGGACGCTGACAGTAACATTAACATGCTCACTACATTTATATTGTCATTAAACTTAAGGCCATCCAAAGCAAGCAAAAAAGAACAATATAAGCCTTTTCTCCAATTTACTAGGAAGAGATAAATAAATTGAGCTTATATTGAGGAAATGTATTATTTCTCACTTTAAAAATTCATCTCTGTGTTTGCATCAGTAGTGTGTACATACAACAACATTAACATTAACATGCTTTGTTTAAAGCACGCGCGAGTCTAACAAATACAAGAGATTGGAGAATGTGTCGGTTGCAAATAAAATACATAGGCCTATTGTACATGCTGCCAAAAACACAAAAATGCAGAAAAGGCCTCAAAATATTGGTTTACACATAAAAGCCAATAATGCAAAACAAAGTAAACAAGAGTGGAACTGGCATATATTTTCTGAATACAATATGTTCAAAGTCATTTTCTGTGTGTTGGGAGTGTGATTTCTAATGCATGAATGATAGGCTCATTTAGATGTGATATATAATGAAGAAACTTGTGTCTACAGTCACAACAGAAAGAGTTCCATGGCGAGTGATCACTGGTCAAGGATTTCAGAGCTGTGTGCATTTTGAGAAAAATGTATCCCCATACCCTGGATCACATGTCGAGGGGATGGGCTTGTCCCCCTGTAATCCCCGCACACAGTAAATAAACACATATTTTTTAACACGAATAAGAAAAAATAAGTGGTCTCTTGTTACGAATCAAATTGAAGTCCTGTTTCAATTCGATTAATTGATAAAAGTGCGTATCGCAATGCATTGGCCACCCCCTGCCCTATAGGTTTATGCTATTTAATAAATACATTCGTCTGATCTGGAATCTTTATTGCCCGCACACAGTAAACAAACACACATTTTTGAACACGTATAAGAAAAAATAAGTGTTGTCTTGTTACGCATCAAATCGAAGTCCTGTTACAATTCAATTAATTGATAAAAGCGTGTATCGCAAGGCATCGGCTAACCCAGCACTATTACGCTATTTTATAAACACATTCGTCAGATCTGGAATCTTTAATCTTTAATTTTTAATCCCCGCACACAGTAAACAAACACACATTCATGAACATGTATATATAAGAAAAAATAAGTGTTGTCTTGTTACGGATCAAATCGAAGTCCTGTTACAATTCAATTAATTGATAAAAGCGTGTATCGCAAGGCATCGGCTAACCCAGCACTATTACGCTATTTTATAAACACATTCGTCAGATCTGGAATCTTTAATCTTTAATTTTTAATCCCCGCACACAGTAAACAAACACACATTCATGAACATGTATATATAAGAAAAAATAAGTGTTGTCTTGTTACGGATCAAATCGAAGTCCTGTTACAATTCAATTAATTGATAAAAGCGTGTATCGCAAGGCATCGGCTAACCCAGCACTATTACGCTATTTTATAAACACATTCGTCAGATCTGGAATCTTTAATCTTTAATTTTTAATCCCCGCACACAGTAAACAAACACACATTCATGAACATGTATATATAAGAAAAAATAAGTGTTGTCTTGTTACGGATCAAATCGAAGTCCTGTTACAATTCAATTAATTGATAAAAGCGTGTATCGCAAGGCATCGGCTAACCCAGCACTATTACGCTATTTTATAAACACATTCGTCAGATCTGGAATCTTTAATCTTTAATTTTTAATCCCCGCACACAGTAAACAAACACACATTCATGAACACGTATAAAAAAATAAGTGATCTCTTGTTACGGATCAAATTGAAGTCTAGTTACAATTCAATAATTGATAATAGCGCGCATTGCAATGCATTTGCTAACTCAGCATTATACGCTATTTAATAATACATTCGTCAGATTTGGAATCTTAAATTATAATCATAAATATATGAGCCCACGCGTGGGGAGTGAAAGTGAAAGGAATTGAAAATGCTTTCAAAAACAATTATTAAAGTAACATAATTAAAGTAGGACTACATGTGCTTATAAAGACCCAAAAAGGTGTATGGATGCGGAAATTAATGTTTCGGATGAAAATAATACGCTATCTCTACTACTGTAGCATGTGGTCAAAAATTTGATGCGCAACTTATTATCAAATATCTAGGCTACTGAACTATCAAACACCTAGGTCTAGATTCTCCTACTTTAACATAATGACTTAGATCTATATCAATTCATCTTAACCGATGAGTATTTTTTTCAAATATTTGCACACATCTATAAGTTCTATATTATTGTAGAAATTTCTTTGAAGAAAATTCTTTAATAAATACAAGCCCAATATATTTTAAAAAAAATCCCACTCAATGGTTTCTACAGATTTTTAAAAAGTTTATAGCTGGAGCTAAATCTCTTTTAAAAGCAAGTCCGTCCTTTTTTCTACTTCTGCTGGCGACATAAAGTTAATTATTGAACGCATGTTTTGAGAACATTAATTAGATCTAGTGAAAAATATGTTCAGTGTAAAACAAATTTCTTGTAACAAGTTTTGCTACTAAGAAATTACGTAGGTCATATGCGTATGCAAAATGTGTGTGGGAAGCTAGAAGTGCTGTGAACAATCCCATCCGTGTTACGATTTTTTTTCACAGTTCTGTAGATCTTATATTTATAAACTCTCTATGTCTGCTGTTTCTGTTGTTGCACCCAAAAACACAACAATTTAAAACCTTAATTTCAATCTCTAGTTGCACAGTGAATTCTGTTACTCAAAATTACAAACTGGACAGTAAATGTCCCACTTTTCACTCGTTTGTAAAAGCCGCTATTGCTTTAAAAGCTATAGGTTACTTCCGAAAACGATAAATCGTGCCCTCAAGACGCCATTGTTTTCGGTCTTCAATTCCTCACAGGTCACGTGGTACAGTTCCCGTTCTATAAGTGTAGAATTCTGTGAGTGCACACTAGGTCTGTGTGCTCGTGTGCTGTGTTGGCTTACTGTGTAAAACACGCAGAGAAGCAAATTGGGACACAGTAGGCCTACAGTGACTTGGCACCTTGGTCTCGAGAGGTCACCTTATCAGCCAATGGAAAAAGACGATCCCAGACACACCTTCAATTGGAACTTGCCTATAAGTTTTCGCCTTTTTCGTGCTGCTTATTATTATTATTATTATTATTATTATTATTATTATTATTATTATATCTATTATTATTATTATTATTATTATTGTTATTATTATTGTTATTATTATTGTCATTATTATTATTATCTTTGTTATCGTTGCTGTTGTTGCTATTGTTAAAATTGTTATTATCACAGTCATTGTTATTATTGTTGTTATTATTATATTATAGTAGTTATTTTATTATTATTATTGTTGTTATTATTTTTATTATTATTATTATTATTATTATTATTATTATTATTATTATTATTATTATTATTATTATTATTATTATTATTGAGGTTTATAATTGCTATCGTTCTTTGCTGTTGTTTTAGATAAAAATAAATTTGTATGTATGATATAATATGTTTTTGTTCATGATGATGGCAGCTGACTAAATCTGTGTTAATTTTTGGTTATACATGTATGCCTCATTTATTACACTCATTATTGTGGTCATAATATCCCCTAGGAAGACAATGTAAAATGCCAAATTTTACTTTTCTTGTAAAAAAAACTACTGCTTTTTCTTTCCTCATCCTTACTATCGTCATTTTTCTTCTACTTCTTTTGTATGTTTGCCACTCTTTTTTTTTTTCTCTAGGTCTTTAATGCCATCTACGGGTGAGATTTTCCTCATTTTTACCCTGTTTGACCATATATTTTCCCCCTCCATTTTTGACTCCTACATCCTTTTCCATCACAGTTTCAAGCGTCCGCTTCAATCAATTATGTTTCAGTCATTTAAAAGGGGGTTTTAAAAAAATATTTTGCAATTTTGGGTCATGTTTTTTAAATATTTTCTTCATTTTTTAAAAATATTTATTTTTCCGACTTTAATTTACATCTTCTCCATTATTTTCCTTCTGAAAATTTCATTATTTTACACAATGTACATCCATAGGTGACCTGTACTGAAATAGAGCCCTTTTTCAAGATAGTGAAAGAATATTTCATAGTCCATAATTATTTTCATAATCGTAATATTACAAATCTGGCGTTATTTGTTCATTACATAGGTGTTGTAGTTTGTACTTGCTAAAAATAAAAGCCAAGGGACGAAAACTAAGAGGATAGCCTTTGAAATTTGATGAAATTATCCAATATGGCGGGTGTTTGCTTGGTTACCATGGTTACCATGAGCTTATAATAATAAATAATTACTTGAATTTATTCTTTGATGTCTGACTAATATGAATATATCATCGTTGCTTGGGGGATATGGATTTTAGAAATTCCACCAGCAGATGGCCTTAAGCCTTAAGTGTATTAGGGCGAAGGTCATATGAGCGCGCGGGACACACCAAACATTTTCATTTGGTAGGAAATTTTGAATTTTGCCCGGTGGCGGCCGAAGCCTCTTATCGAT